ACACACACACACACACACACACACACACACACACACACACACACACACACACACATAAACAAATGCACAGAAACAAAGACAAACCATTCTAAAGGGGGGACCAGCTCCAGAGTCCGCGTACACCCTGGAGACTAGGAAGGAAAGGCCAAAATGCTGCAAGCTCCAGAGTCCTTCCACCCTGGAGACTCTGAACGAAAAAGAGGCAATCGTGAGCTATGTCCTCAGCAGAAGACGACAAGAATGGGGAAACGCTGGCAAAAAAGTGTTAGGAACGGGATGAGATCATCTTCCAGGAGTCGCATGCATCCGTGCGACTAGTTCATACAGGCTCTGTGGCCAATTGCGGGGCAGAGAATTTGCAACAAAGTTGGCGATCTTGACTTTGAGAGACCGCACACTCCCATATGCATCTGATCCTGTCTGCTCCATACCTTCCAGACAGCTAATGACAGCTGCTAGTACATCAGGAAGCCTATCCTCTACTGGCCTTGACACATGCCGAAAGTTCTGTTCGCACCTCTCCAGGCTTCGGCCATCAAATGGAAGAAAGGGCAGTCGTGCAACCTCCCGCACAGCGTCTCCGTACTTTCCAAGGCTGTACAACCTATAGAAGTCTGTGATTGCTTCAAGCTGTCGGAATGCAGCATGCTGATCGGCAACATTTTCCCGATCCGGGACCAGCCCAGTTCCAAGGGTCTTGTGCAGGTCAAGAATTTGATTGCCAACCTGTCGCATGACAGAAGCCCTCCCTTCACCCTCCATCTTCCCCATCACAACAGCGCCCACTGCTTCAGAAAACTTTCTGTTCACTATCTCCAGAGCTGACCCAAATGCACCAGCTCTCTTATACAGCTCAATGGCCTCGTTATATTGCCCCCTATCTTGGCATTCTCTGGCAGCAGAGATGACCAGTTCTCTCCGTGAACTCTCGTCTTCAACAAACCGACGCAACTGCCCCTCACTCACCCCCATTGCTTGCCCAAGCAAAAGCGCAACCCCAGAGTAGGTCTGCAGCAGCTCACGCAAACAAGCCTCAAGCATACCCTGTCTGTCTTTTCGCTGTTCTCGAGTTGCTTGCCCAGTCATGGACGCTGCACCACCCCCCATGGCAGTCGCGGCTGCCACATAGTACTCCAGTGCATGTTGCAGGTCACCAGCTCTTGCAAATGACATCCCATACTGCCGAATTATGCTGGCAATATCACTGACAGCATCTGTTGTGACCAGGCTGATCTGCCCTCGTTCAACCTCCGGACCCTCATTGAGAACCCCACAATCCGCCAATGCAACGCCTATGTGAACTGCATCAACGCGGAAGTCCTCAGAGGTGTGGTCCTTGAACAGGTAGACAATTGAGGCATGCAGTTGCAAGCTCAAAAGAAGCACGTAAGGATAGACAAGTGGATCCCTACCGTTCTTTGTATAGTATGAGTCGGGATACTGACGTAGATAGATCTGCAACTGGTCCAACGTATAGGGCTCAGGAGCTGATGGCGCCGCTGTGGAGACAAAGGCCGTCGATGAGGAAGATGTGGACAGGAAGGTACGCCCTTCCCCACCGAGCAACAGCGATCCCCCCCCCTCCGGTCCACTTCCAGGACAGCCATATGCTGCCGCGTCCCGCACAAGAGCCAGCTTAAACCACATGAAATCCTCAATGGTACGGAAGAGTCCCGGAATCTGAGCCAAAAGCCTCTCACCAAGCATTCGGCTTCCGGACACAATCACGTAAAGAAGCATACGTTGTTTGTCATAACCTGGCTTGCCATGCCTCTCCCCTGTCCTGATCATGCGTTCGCATTCTTCCGTTACAGCTGCGGCCGTTGCAGGAGTAACTGCACCACCGCGGTCAATCCACTCGCCAAGATGGCCGGCAAACGGACGGCTGACACGTGAAGCTTGTGCAACGCTCCTGGCTTCCTCGTAGTACCCTGTTCGGAGACAGAAGTAAATCTGGTGCCATGTTGTGTCAAGAGGAGGTTGACGTTGAGAGTCCTTAACATCGAAATCAAGCGGCCCTTGATCATGCAGACGTACACGAAGGAACGCTCGTACCCTCTGAAGATTCCCAGTGGATCCTCCAAGCCCTGCCCAGTTTGCGTGACTTTGAATCAGATCCAGCAAGTGCTTCTCGTGTCCCATCTCCAAATGCTTTCTGGCCCCGATCACCATCTGCATCTTCCTTGGGAGATCCGCAAAAGTTCTCCTACCTCCTCCTCCTCCTCCTCCTCCCCCTCCTCCTCGTCCTCCTCCTCCTCCTCCCTCTTCTCCTTCCAGCATTGCTTGCAGAAGCCGCCATATCTTCAGCATTGTGACTGAACGAGTACCTGCAGGCTCTCCAACACTAAACTCGTATGCCTCCTTGAAAGCTGTTGCTACCTTGAAGTCTTGGTTGCTCTCATGCGCTGCATTCACTCGCTCAACAACTGCAGCATAGGCTGCCACCTTTCGCTCAAGAATACTCTGCTCCACCATTCCGCTGGCTGCCACTGCAAGACCTCTTACTCCCGTTCCCATCCCTCTCGAAGTTGGACTCTGTAAAGACTGAGCACCATAAGGTGCTCCCTGATAGCCAGTCGACATAGCCTCTTCCGAGTAGCGAACACTTCCCCCATCCGTGATCCCTCCTATTCCTGTTGAGGCTACCCCTGGAGTAAGCGATGGAAGACGGCTCAGGCTTTGAAGGAAGTTACGCTTCTCCCTCTGCCAATCTGCTTCTGCCACATGGCTGATGTAATCCTCAAAACTCTGAAGTGTCTCCTTCTGCGACTCCTGGATTGCTGACAGCATTGTCATTTCATGCAGCTGCTGCAGGTATTCTTCAACAGTTGAGGCCTCAACAGGACATATGTCCTCAAAGGTTGTCTTCAGCTCGAAGGTCCTTAGATCCCTGGTCAGCCGTTCTGCATCGATCCCCTCACGGGCAAGCAGCCTGGTTGCAGCTGTCGTTTCTGCCGTTGAGTCAATCTGTGTTGTCCGAGCCTTCAGCTGTCTCGATATCGCCTCCAGCTGATCGAGGCTTCTTTCAATATGTGGGAACTGTGTTTCAGCCCCAGACCCCTGGGCTACAAGCATCTGACTCTGCTGAAGCAGATCATCCCAGCTACGAGCGGCCGCCATGGCGTTTTACTTGTCTGTTGAATCACAGGAAGGGCACCTATCAAAAACAAAGGTCCTCGCTGATTCAATCAGCAATACTTCCAAATGGCAACTCCACAGCTGATGCTTTCAAATGGAGACGACAAGAGCAGAAGTTACAGACTGGATAAGGAGCTCATGACTTCTACGACAGCGGCAGGACTCCTATCACACACCTTGGGCACCGACCCCACAGCCCTCAGAACTGGCCTCCATCTCTGAGATCCATGTCAGTTATCCAGTTCATCAATGAGTAAGCAGTGATGTGAATCTGCCCTCTGTGTGTACACAAGAAGAGAGGACACCACCACCAGCATCAATCAACATAGTCAAGAAAAGTGAAAGCCGCCACAGTTGGTAAACATCGATGATGAATACAAAACAGCAGCACCATTATGCGGAGAACATGACAATGTTGAGCTCAGAAGTATAACACAGAAGAGTCTGACTCGTGCTCTGCAGAGCAGAGCTGAGGCAGGTTCCATGCTCAGCAGAGCATAGCAGATGCAGGTTCATTAGGTCATGTTTAGAAGGAAAACAGAAAACGGAAAAGAGATGCAATAGAGGAGTTTCATGACCTTTCCTTTCATTGTAGCCCAAACACAACGCTGCGTAGTCATAACTGCACAGAAGCTCAGTCCCAGTCTCATACACTCATGATGAAGGGGCCTTGCATTCAAGGGAAGACAGCAGCTGAATGCAAAAGACCTTCCAATACACCAAGTAAAGCCAGTGCGGCTACGCCCGCGCGCATGGAAATGTCAATGAGATATTCAGAGTCTACATAAGTATCCATCTACAGACCTCTCTCTCTCTCTCTCTCTCTCTCTCTCTCTCTCTCTCTCTCTCTCTCTCTCTCTCTCTCTCTCTCTCTCT